CTTTGTCAAATATGCATCTTGAATCTTAGGTCCCACAGACAGCGTTTAACTGGCCCAAAGTTAAAAGCCGTCAGAAATAAAGTGATTATTTCTTCCTCCAGTGGCCCAAGGGAGTGAAATGAAGTTTTCATGTCCACTCCAATAAAAGCCTCAGCAAAGACTCAGAGACACCATGTGACTGTCCCCCATCACTTGTCTGCCTTTGCTCCTTATTACAAAGCTCCGTTCTCCTCCCCTGTACTCTGGTTTCATTAAAAGCTTCCCCCACCCCCAGTTTCCTTTCTGGTCTCTAGGTCTTCATCTAGGAAGATGTGCTGGGAAAGCACTAATGTTAGGCCAAGCCTTACTGAAGACAGAGATCGTGCTCCAGTAACATGCCAAAACTAATTGAAACCAAACCAAGGGGGATTGGAAGAAGGCTTCTCTTCCCAAGTAAACTAATTCCTACTTCCCTTGATGGTCAAAGCTATTTTCACCCACAGCCCTCTCTCCCTCAGAGTAAACACCCCGGTGTCTTTTCCTATGTTTCCCACAGGCAGTTTAAGGAAAAGAAAGTATGTTGACCTAACCAAAGGTAGCATCAAAATTGCTATTATATTTGAGATAAGTTATAATAACGATAAACCTGATACGTTACTGTTATTTTAATATCGAACAACTTTTTTGTAGAAGAAGATACTTATGCATGTAGGGAAGACATTAAATAATCGCACACATTGAGACAAAGCCAACTGTCCTCCACTTCTTGTTGCTGCTTTCTTCAGAAGCTACCACAATAGCTGTATAGCACACTGTGACTTGTGCCTTATCTGTGCAGCTTTTTGTTTCCTTCTAATTAATAATACCTTTTTTTTTAAATTGTTGGATGACTTGTCACTAAGTTAGTCTTCGTTGAGTCTTCTCTGAGGAGCTCCTGTGCTCCAGGTATGATGATCAGTCTAGATTGTCAACCTGGCAGTCTGGGATGCCTAGGAGATCAGTAAAGCACACCTGGATGTGTTTATGAGGACGTTTCCGGAGATGGTTAGATCACGAGGGCTCTCCTATAACCAATGGCTTAACTTTGAGAGACTATTGTAAAATGGTGGGAATGGGGAAGTAGAGTCTGGATGAAGGGCAGAGGTCACTGAGGGATGGCATGGTGTAGAAAGATGTTTTATGCCTGACAATCTGAGTTTTATCTTTTGGAACCTGCATGATAGAAGGTAGGTACCAGCACCTGCAAGTTGTCCTGTGACTTTTATATGAATACCACGACAGCCCCCCCCCTTTAATAAATAAATGAGCTGTCATCTAAAAAGAGAAGGGCATGTCTTGCTTGGCTCCTTCCTTCATTCAGCTTCTTAGGTGCTGTGAGTTAGTTCTGTTGCACCATGCCCTGTCATGATGGACTGAAACCTCCAAAACCATGAGCTAACTAAACCCTTCCTTAAGTTGTTCTCACAGTAATGACGAAGTCTGACCATGTAGAGATTGTCTGAGCCTTGTGACCATGTCTACAGTCATTGTTGCTCTCTTTACTGTATGTAGAGTGTCAGCCTGAGGAATTCCGTTCTTTCTCGTGGTGGCACTGCTTTCTGGTATTTCAGTTTGCTCCCTTGTTTTGGTTGATCAGAGCCTCCAGTGGTTTCCTGACAAGTGTGTGGGGTATCTTCATTCTTCTCTAATGTTTATGACATAACTTAGCCAAATACCAACTATGGAAACATCAGTTTTCTGGGAATTTTTTTTTCCAGACAGGGTTTCTCTGTGTAGCTTTGGAGCCTTTCCTGGAACTTACTCTGTAGCCCAGGCTGGCCTCGAACTCACAGGGATCCGCCTGCCTCTGCCTCCTGAATGCTGAGATTAAAGGCGTGCACCACCACCGACCATCTAGCTTTTCCTGGGAATTTTAAGGCATTTTGCCATTGCCTTTAAAAATGTTTTTTCTTGAAGAAATTTTATTCACAGAAGAGTCACAATGAAAAGCTCATGTCTGTATACCCTTTACCTAATGTCTCCTAATGCTAACATTTTATATAACCACTGTACATGTGTCAAAACTAAGAAATTACTATTGGTACATCACTACTAACTGAATTACTATTGGTACATCACTACTAACTGAATTACAGATTTCAGGCATGTTTCACTTTAGAGAAACTTCTTTTTAAATCTCTCCAGCTATTTGCAGTTGATAGCTGCTGGAAGTGAGAAAATCCATTTTCTCTAATGGAGTGGTGTGTCAGCCACACTCCAGGGAAGGTCCTATGCCCAGGAGTAATTGGCTGACACAAATCAGGCTGTTTAGTTTTTTTTTCCCAACATAATATTTTTATTGATTGTTTGGGAATTTCATACAATGAAATTCACACTTGCTTCTCATTCCTCCCAGGCTCACCCTTGCACCTTTGAGTCCCCCTCCCCAAAAAGAAAGGAAAAAGAATGTGGGGGCCCACAGAGGCTCCCTGGTAAGACCTTACTCAAGGTCAGAGAGTCTGAGCTTGCTTTACCCAGCAGGGCTGCATAATAGGATGGTTTGGCCAGGGGTGTGGTTACCGGGTGTTTGGAAGGGTCTACACTTGTCTGTATGTTGTGCTTTGATCTTGAAAAGGGGAGGTCTTTTGCCTCTCCCCTTGGTAGTGTATAAAAAGCCCATTTGAATAAATCTCAAGGCAACTGGGTATTGACCTAGGGCCCTCCTGAAGCTATCCTATGTCTCCGTCTATTTTTCTATCTAATACTTCCTCATTCCTCTCTCCTCCCCACAAGAACCCTTTAACAGGTCAGACTTGGTCTCCTACAGAAGAAGATGTATTCTTATATGTCAAGTCCAATTTGTGTCGCTCATATACTCATTGGAACATGGTCAAACCTCAGTGGCCAGTTCCCTTAAAGATAACTGAGTCCTTTTGGCTTCATTTAGGTTTTTTGTTTTGTTTTGTTTTTTTGTTTGTTTTGTTTTGGTAGGCGATTCAGGAGGCATTGGGCGATCCTGGAGTTATGTGTTGCAGAAGGGGTGAGGAGGCTGTGGGCCTATTTGTGATTTTTGCGTGTGTGTGTGTGATTTTTTTTTTCCCTAAGAGACAGAAAGAACATGAAGTTTCATGTGTGTGTTGGGAGATGTGGCGGAGGGGAAAGATGATTGCTTGGTCCTCAGCTGCGGAACTGTTTGGGAAGAGTTAGGAGGTGTGGCCTTATTGGAGGAGGTACATCACTGGGGCAGGCGTGGAGGTGTCCAAAGGCACTGTTCGCAGTGTGTCCTCTCTGCCTTCTGCTTGTGGTTGAGGATGTGAGCTCTCAGCTGTTCCGGTGGTTGTGTCTTTGCTCCACTATCCAAGACTCTAACCCTCGGAAGCCACAAACCCAGTTAAATACCCTTTTCTCTCTGAGTAGCCTTCATCCTGGTGTTTTGTCACAGGAATAGAAAATTAACATTATATCCAAAAAAAAATCAAGAACTATATTAATCACATTAAAAAGCTTTCCTGTGCAGAGGAGGATATGGGCATTGGCATACAGGAGAAAAGTAATTCAATAAGTCAACAAGCAGGAGAGGGGAGGAGGACTCCAGGGAGAACTAGGCTCCATCTTAAGTGTGCTGATACATTGTTTTGGGACAGTACTTCTGGTCTCTGTAAAATATGGTGGTTGTATTGCATTGGATTGCTGGGAGAATTCAGCGAGACTGTCTCAGCTGGCACCTGGCGGAGTGTCCAGTGCATAGAATAGTCTCAGTACATGTTGATACTGTCCCCTTGGACTCGTCCACCACACAACTGCTGAGGCTGTGGAGGGAAAGCATGAGCTTTATGGAAAGTGTGCTGTGTCCTACCGTTGAGTGGCAGGAATGTGGGGGAACTGTATTTCCTTACCGTATGTTTTAAATTCTCTCTCCCCTTCTCTCCATGCAGGGCTTACCACCCAAACAATGGAAAGCCGACGTTAGCCACCTGAGTTGCCCAGAGCCTACCTTGTTCACCTTCTCATCTCCAGCTTCTCCTCCAGCCCTGCATGGGAGATCGTTGAGAGAGCTGTGGCTCCCCAGCTTTCAGCAGTCTAAGAAAGAAGCCCAGGCGCTGAGGTGGCTGGTGGATAGGAATCAAAATTTTTCATCTGAAGAATTTTGGGGCCTAGTATTTAAAGACTAATTTTAAAAGGCACTAGAATGACAGAATTCGATTAATTTTCTTGGATGCCTTAATATTTGGAGAGAACAAGCCATCAGAATAAGAACTAATTGCATCAGTTCTCACAAAGAGCCCTGTCAAATAATAGCTGTGAATTACTTTGAGTGGTTGCCTCTATATTTTTATACTAAAAAAGTTAAGACTTTTTAGAATGGGCATTGGTGGCCTTCAGTTTATGTGTTTGGACCCACCAACTCTCCGTCTCCTGTGGAACCTGACCTCAGGTCAAGTGCTTTCGTAGCTGCAGACCTAGCTGTGGATGTGTGATACTCACCGCCCTGTCAGCACCTCATTGGTATTTGGCAAGCCCAGTTTCTTGATGTTGAGAGTGAAGGAAACGCTTTAGAACTTGGCCGTGAGAGATTCCAGCTGTTGTTCTCAGGGATGTGAGTGAGGAAGGAAGGCTGTGTCAAGCATCTCTGTTCTCCCAGTCCAAAGGACACACGCATGTCTTCCTTCGTCTCCACACCTCCAAGCCACCTCGCTAGTGAAGGAGCTCTGGCTGGCCCAAGCATAGCGGACATGGCTCTGGCAGGCCTTGACCATCCCTGTTCCTTCTGCCTTGCTGAACTGTTAGATCACTTCTCCAAAGCTAGCCTGCAAGGTCTTTTCCCTTATTTGGCCACTTTCTGCCCCTGAGGAGGACCACCAAGGTCTAGCTATCAAAGTATTGAAGTCCAACAATCAAAAACCCCCTTTTAGCTGCCCTAATTAACATGCCCAATCAAAATTAAACACCTCATCCTAACATGAGGTTTCCTCTTTTTTCTTTATTTGCCCATGGGTCTCCTCTCTATCCAGAGGCAGTCCTTTGGCCCTCTGAGACAAATACCCCTTCCCCCTCTCCCTTGTATCCTTCCCTTCCCCCTCATCCTCTCTCCCTTGTCTTTGTCTCTTATTCCCTGTCCTCTGTCCCTCTGGGGCACATAAATCTCCTTTGTGCTGAGAACTTGGTCTGGGGCTGTCTTGTGCTGACTTCAAGGTCCTTTCAACTGGCCTAGTCTATATTCTCTTCACCTGTGGCCTCCTCCCATTTCTCTCTGAAGTAGAACTTTCTAGACATGACTCCCAGTTTTTCCATCAGTGAGATGTCACTAATTGTTTCTTACGCTATGGCGCAGGAGAGGAAGAATTGTCATATTCATGGCAAACAGCCATTTATTTTGATCAAGGTGAGGGAAGTGAATGCCCTGGCTGGGCTCTCCTTGGGTCCAAGTTGATTGTCATTAGGATGATGTAGACAGCCGGTCATGGTAGGTAGGCAGTCTGCTGATGGATGTTTCCTGGTTTCTAATGCTGTCAGAAAAGGAAGGTTCAGCCATATTGTCTGGTTACCTCCTGGAGCTCTCTGAAAACAAGGAGAAACAACACCGGCTTTTATTCCATTAGATGGTAAGGAGACGTCGGTCCACACAAAGGCCTCTTGGTGACTGTTGTGTTGGTTTCTGTGTTCTTAATTATGGGAATACATAAGCATTGCCCTCAAACTGTGTCGTCCAGCCTGCAAGAAATGATGAAAAATAACACATTCTTGATGGGCAGTAGGGTCACCTTGCTGGTGGGAGAACCTGTCTGTGGAGAGGTTCTCCTTAACCCTACATCTGTCATTAATTCAACATGATTTTAGGCAAGTCTCTTAACTTCTTTGGGCCTTGGGTTTTCTATCTTAAGAAATGATTGAGCTGACCTTTGAGGTGGTAATGTTCTTTCATTCCTCATGAAAATTTAAGATGTTTAATTTTCTAGGTACTTTTACTGATGTGGGAAGAAATTGGCTTAGATGTGTGTTTTTCAATAGAAGTATATTTTTCGGAGAACAGAGCATATGTATTTTACTTAGTATTGGGAATGGAGGGGATTCTCTACCATTTTATCTAATAACATCAAAGCAGTAAAGCTTTGAAAGGGGGTTGTTGGTATAAGGCCAGGCTTTAAACTGTATACGGAATGAAGTGGAGTTCTTTCTGAATCCTCAAGAGTGGTCTGCAAAAGGATTTATGCCTTTGATGAAATAATGTAGTAGCTTTACTTTCTCTCCATAAATGTCTACAACAAATACTTAGTTCTCCATGCGTGTCTTTCATCTCAGTATTTCAGGAATTATTAACATTTTCGAGAACTTCAAATATGATGAATATGACCAATATTTATTAAAATATGATCCCCCCACCTCTCCCAATGTCCCTGCTGTGTCCATTCCCCCTAACTCTGTCTTTTAAGAATATATTAGAACACACCAAATCCAGTCAGTTCCGCTCATATGTGCACGCCTGAGGGGCCATCCATTGGCTCATAGGAACACTGCCAGTGGCCACATTCTCTCTCGTAAAAGCTCCGTTGTTAACAGCCTGGAGATTGTCTCTCCCACTTTTGTGGGGATTTCGACTGGCGTGATCTTGTGCAGGTCTCATACAGGTAATGCAGGCTGCTGTGAGTTCATTCGTGTGACAGCGATGCCGTGTCTAGTGGACAGAATTTCACAACACTCCTTCCTGCTTTCAGGCTTTTACATTCTTTCTATCCCCTTTCCTCAACGTTTGCTGAACCTTCACTGGGGCAGGTGTTGGAGAGAGAGGTCCCATTTATGGCTGAGCACTTAGCCTTTTATTCTCAGTAGGTTGACCAGTTGCACATCTCTCCAGTGACTGCTGCCCACTGCAAAACAAAGTTTCTTCCACTAAGGTTCTGTTACAGGCATAAACAAAATTGATTTCATGTTTCAAAATAAATAAATAATTTTTTTCTAGAATTTTGTATATGAGTACACTGTATTTACACCATTTCCACCCATCTTTGTCCCCTAATTTTTCCTCCCCTCACTCATTTACAGATTCATGACTTATTTATGTGTAATTATTAATGTTATGCATACACACATATATGTATATATAAGCTACTAAGCTCATTTAGTGTTGTTTGTATGTTCATGTTTTTAGGGCTGACCACTTGATATTGGATCACCTGTCAGGGGTCTTGTGCCTAGAGAAAACTGATTTTCCCTCTCTCAACAACCACTGACTGTATGTTGTTCTTTATCTAGGGATGGGCCCTTGTGTAATTTCGACCATCTCCACTGGCATGTTCACTGGTGTGGTCATTATGCAGGTCTTGTTTGGGCAGCCATTCTGTTGAGGTTTCATGGGTGCAGAATCCCTCTTGTGTCTAGAAGACACTGTCTTGTAAAAGGTATCATGGTCTTCTGGCTCTTACTATCTTTTTTTTTTTTCTAACTGAATTGTCTTTCATACAATATATTCTGATCTTGCTTTCCCCTCCCCCACCTCCTCCTAGATCTTCCTCACTTTCCCACCCACCCAGTTCTATGACCTTGCTCTAAAAATAAACAAATAAACAAGAAACACCCCCCAAACCCCACAAAAACTGAAAACAAAATATACAAGCAAAATACCAACAAGACAAAAAAAAAACAAAAACAAAAAAAACAAAGCAAAATGAGACAAGAAGTCTACAAAAATGTTATTAAGTATGTGTTATGTTGGGCAACTACTCCTGGGCATGGGGCCTACCCTGAAGTGTGGTTGATATACCCAGTGAGACTGCAATGGGGAAAGCTAATTTTTCCTTTGCCAGCACTCATCAATTAGATGTAGCTTCTTGGTTAGTGGGTGGGTATACATGTAACCAACCGTCTTATTAAATAAGAAACACAGAACCAATGCAAAGAAGAAAGGCAAGAGGTCAGAGCTAAGAGCTAAAACCTTACCCTTCCTCCTGTGGTGGTCCTACCTCTCCTAACCAGAGCTATTTCCTGTGTGTCTGTCTTTTTATAGTGTTTCTGTTTTGCCTTCTCATTGGTTGTAAACCCAACCATGTGACTGCCTCTTCATGGCCTGTCTGTATAGACCTCCAGGCTTTCTATTGATTGGTATTGAGATTAAAGGCATGTGTATCCAATACTGGCTGTATCCCTGAACACACAGAGACTTACCTAGCTCTGTCTACCAAGTGCTGGGATTACAAGCATATGCCACCATTGCCCTGCTTTCCTATGGCTTGCTAATAGCTCTGACCCCCGGGCAACTTTATTTATTAACATACAAATAACATTTGAATACAAATAAAATATCACCATAGGTGGGAGCCTGTGTCTACTTCCCCTGCTCAGTGTTGTGTGGTATACATGTACTTATTGGGGCTCAATACCCCATGTTCACTTATTCTCTGTAGTTTGACCACTTGTGGGTCTCTAGAGTAGCCATCTATGATGATGCTCCCCCATTGGGATGAGAATTACCATTATCAGTGGGTATAATAATCAAGGTTAGAATTCAGCTAGAGGCTGTACTGATTTAGGAAGGTGGTAGTAGTGAGTTCACCTCTTGGTTCTGTGTCCTCTCCAGCATGAGTTCCTTAAGTCCAGTTAGTTTCCATCAAGATGTAAGTGGCACTGTTGCATATTTCATGTCATCTTTTTCCATCATAGATCTTTTTCCAGAGTTCCATATTGAAATTTTGTCTACACTTCATTGGAGTATATTGCTAGGAATTTTTATATGAAATAAAATCTTTGATTATGTGATACCCTCCCCAGTTGTGGACGATGGAGAAGAGGGAATTCCATGGGATTAAAAACTGGAGTACAGGGCTGGAGAGATGGCTTAGCTGTTAAAGGCTAGGCTCACAACCAAAACTATAAAAAACAAGTACAGAAAAAAAAAGCAGTTTGGTACTCGGTACATAAAGCAAAATAATAGTAGTGTGTTCGCTCATGTCAAACCTCTTTCTGAACTCAGATCTCTGTAACTGGAGATTAGTCTAGCTGTGGGACACCAAAGAGATGTTTCTTTGTGCAGTGGATAGTAGTTAACACAGAAACTGGCAACCGGTCAAAGTGCAGAGAATGAGCATCAGTGGAGGGCTCGGCTACAAATGGAACATGTACATCACGCCTTTCCCCAGGGCTCGGGGAACATCCAGGACGAGGAGGCGGAAAGCTTGTAAGAGGTGGAAGTCAGGGAAGACTGAAGTGAAATAGTATCCTCTGAACATTACAGGACTGCTGTATTCTTGAACTCACAGAAACTCTGGTTGCCAGCACAAGATCAAACCAGTCATTCTGGCATGGAGGGTGAATGGATTCTTGAGCCCTGACCAGCAACCAAAGAGCTGTGGACAGTTGATGTAGTCTAGGGAAAGGAGAGTCATTTTCCTCAATGGCTTGGATCCTGGTAGGTTAGCCATGCTCATGTGGGTCATCCCACACCCAGGACTATATGTAGAGCACTACTTGGATTCTGGGGGTTATTGAAAAATGAGGACATGACATTGTGGGGCATAGGAGGTCAGGTGTATTTGGGAAGATATAGGGATAGGACTTGTGGGTAAATACTATCAAAATACATTGTATGAGGTTTTCAAAGAATTAATAAAAACGTTTTTAATGGAACACATTTCAGTGCAAATAAATGTGGTATTATGGGACTGTTATGTGCCCACAGATTTGAGACTTATGTGCTTCAAGGCTTATTTTTATTAGGTTTTCCTTAATAAGCTGCTTTCTTTCTCCTGACATTCTCCTGATGTTATAGTATGGGAAGTGTCTCCTAATCTAACAGGCCTCTTGTCTGCAAATAAGAGCTGCACTCTGAATGTCTAAGTGTACCTTGCCTGTGTTGGTGCTGTCTTACCATGCTTCTCTTTGCCTCACTCTCAGAGAACTGCCTCAAGGGATGACAGTAAGGAATACCAATGCAGCAGTCACTTCCGAGTCTCAGTGTATTTTACGTAGATTATTCACAAGAACAAAGTTTCAAGGCGGTCTGAGAAAGTGGACAGAAAACCTACCAGAATTTTTATGAAGGTCGCTACTCATGTTTGCCAGTAGTCTTCACTTCTGCACCCGAAAATGGAGACAACTTCGATTTTGGTCATGTAACAAACCTACAGTTTTAGAACCTAAGTTCTTACTAGCTTAAGGACTGGTTTCTAGTACTTAGAATATCTGTTAGGGCCATTATTATTAGTAGAATTGGATGCATAGTATGTTGCTCAGAAGAAAAAAGTGAAAACGAATGTCATTTTTCCAGTCATACATTATGTATTACACATAGGAAAGCCAGCTCAGTATCTGCAGAACACAGCTTAGTACAGACCTAAACTTGAAAAAAAACCTCATATGATAAATACTTTTCAAAGCCATTACAGTACAATTCCTGCTAAATATAATCAAGGCTCTCTTCTGGCCTTCCCTTTCCCCAGTTCCAAGACACTTAACTCACTTTGGGGACTTATACAGCAGCACCCCACTTTGGATACCAAGTTCTTTTTTAGTCTCTCTTGGTTGTTTTATAGAATATCACAGACTTGGTGACTTAGAAATAACAAAAATTTACTTCTTATATTTTGGAAGCTGGGAAATCACGGTGCTGGTCCATTGGGTGTCCAGTCAGGGGCTGCTTGGTTCACACATAGCAGTCTTCTTCCTGTGACTTACATGACAATGGGTGAGTGAGTTCTCTGAGGTTTATTTTATAACAACACCAATCCACCCACATGCCCTACTTACTTCCCAAAGGACTTACCTTTCTATAGATGTGGGGTTTTTGTTTTGTTATTGTCTTAAACAAAGTCTTAACTGTATATCCCTGGCTAGCCTAGAACTCTCTTTGTAGATTTGTCTGGCTTCAAATCACAGAGATCTGCCCAACTCTGCCTCCCAAGTGCTAGGATTAAAGGTGTGCACCACCACACCTGGCAAATGCCTAATATTTGACATTAAAATTTTAGCATATTCAGTCCGTAGCACCAGTATAGAGTAAGTTGACCACCCTAGAGTAAGATGGGCACAATTCTGCATAAGCCATGTGTCTTGGAATCATCAAAGTATGTAGTGTGGAAGCTCAAAGAACAATGGTGATTAGCTTATGTTTTAAAAACTTTGCAGTCTTGAATATTTTATAAAACATCCTTACGGTTCTTCAAATTTTTTTGGTTTAAAAAATTTTTATTATTAGTGAATATTTTTACTGCATAATATATTATCAACATATTATGCATAATAAATATATACCATATAGTACATACATTATAATAATAAATTATATATATGATTACCAAAAGTGTTGGATATGGAATTATGCACTGTGACACTAGAGTAAGAAGAACATAGCCTACATTGATTCTTTGCAATGTATTATCTTCATTATCTTGCTCAAATTATTTGGTCCTTCTACCTATTCTACCATATGCCTACTGTACTAGGTAACCTGTGAGACAGTTGTGCTGATTAAATGAGCAAGTGTTCATCCTTTATATTTTACGTAAATGCTGGTGGTGTCTCTAGCCATTACTCTTTTTTTTGTGGAGACTGTGACTGAGATTTGTCCAGTAAGACAGACTGATGAATGATAATATCAGGGGGATGCCCCTTTGTTCTTGTTTGTTATTTGATATGCATTTATTGACGGTTCTGACATAGGTATTGTGACAGGCATGTAAGACATGAGGGAAAGAAGGAAAAAGGTTCTGGCGAGGGGTTTGTGATTTCATGTTGGTGTTGAAACCAGGGTCTAGGAGGCTAGAGAGATGGCGCAGTGAAGAGAGTGCTTGCTGCTCTTGCAGAGGTCCCAAGTTCGCGTCCCAGCACCCATGTTTGGCAGACTGGAACTCCAGCTCCAAGGAATCCAATGCCTTCTGGACTCCAAGACATCCTCACACATATTCATATCCCCTAAACCCTGCCTCTCTTACACACACACACACACACACACACACACACACACACACACACACACTAAATCATAAAAACCCAAACGAACAGGTACTGAAGAATGCCTAGAGTGTTCTTGGCTACCCCCTTAGGATTTCTGATAGTTCTGCACACAGCTTCAAATGACATAATGACACTGAGCCAGTCCCATGACAGTAGGTGACAAGCCTTAATACACCTTCCTGCTTGATGGATGAGTACAGTTCAGACCTGAAACCCAAGAAGGGTCTTTTGTTGCCTTTCCATTACCTTGTCCTGAATCGTGGAACCAGACCATTTAATGTATCTGGACCAAGAAAGAGGATGTAGGTCTACAGATCTGGACCCCAATTACTCATCCACAGAAGATCAATAAGGAAAAGAAAAGAAGAGAAGCCTGATTGGTCTTCTCCCTCGTTCCTTTATACTCCTTGGAACAGTGATCTGGAAGGTCCCTTCAGTCTGTGCCACTGAAGCTTCTGCAACGAGACAGGAATGGACAGTGATGAATGCTTCTGAGGACATCTGGGCATGAGGCCAAAAATGTGTCCTCCATGTTACTTACCACGCAAAATGAGAACCGCGTCAGCCAATCTAGAGCATGAGAAGACATTCTACAGCCGGCCTACACAGGCTGTTATGAATATTCAAAATTGTACTGCCATGGACTTAATTTTTAACTATGATTGAGCTGATTAGCAGACTTAAAGACCGTCACTGTAGCTGATGGGATATATATGGTTTTGAGGCTGGACGTATTCCAAGAGCCTTTGAAATGAACTCAAGTTGTTTTTCAATCACCGAGTAAACTTCTTTGGTGAGTCTACTCAAAGGAGGGGAGAAAGGACAGTTTTGTCAAAGAATGCCCTTGATAAAGCAATAAAAATGACTAATTAAACCACTGTGTGTCTTTTGATTCTGTGTGACTGTGTTAGTCAGGATCCTCTAGGGAAGAGAAATAATGGGATGGGTATATATTTGTATTTAATAGATAAAGAATTTATTGGGTTAGGTTGCCTTAAGTCAATAACAGCAGCCGAATCACACCCAAGAAACTGAAAACTGTATAGGCCTTCGCTGTGGGAGTGGTCCTGAAGCAATTGTATTTCCCCAAGAGAGAGCAGCCAGCCACCCAGCAGCTGCTCAGTCCACAAGTCTGGGTGCCTCTGCAGTCTTGTTCTGGCACCTGAAATCTGGGAGGTTCCTGGAGAGTTGCTGGTCCTTAGTCCACCAGGCAGCCTGGCAACACTGGTTATGGTATCAGCGAAGAAATCAGCAGCAGCAACAACTGAAATCAACCCCCCAAGAGGGAAGTCAGGCGAGCAAAAGGTGAGGAGTCTTCTGCTGCCTCTTTCTTTCTGGACTGCTTCCAGGAGGTTCTGCTCACAATCCGGTGGGTTTTCACCCAGAACTAAGGCAATCAGGATGGTTCTTCAGGTGAAGCTTCCTAGTCAGATGAACTCTGATTTGTGGCAAGTTGACATTAAAACCAACCACAGTGACAAAATTGGGAATGTGCGTGAGCATGCTGCTGGGTCTGGGGAGATGGCTCGCTTGGTAAAGTGCTCGCTGTGGAAGCCTGAGGACCCGAGTTTGGATCCCCACCACACACATAAAAATGCTGGGTATATGTCACATGTTTATAATCTCAATGATGGGAGGTAGAGACAGGAGGATCTCTGGGCTTGCTAGCCAGCCAGTGTAGTCACATCATGAGCTCCAGGTTCACTGAGAGACACTGTTTAAAAAAAAAGTATTATTGAGGAAGACACCCAACAGTAATCTCAGACCTCCACATCCATGTGTACATATGTGCATGCACACATGCACAGGCACACATGAACAGGTGCACATACATACACACACAGATTTCAAATAAAAACAGTTGTGTTACAAAGTATAGCCGGATCTGGAGGGAAAGTTCTGTGTGGGGGAATGTGAGCAGAGTGCACGTGCTTTCCAGAGAACATCATGTTTACTCGAAAAGACCATCTGGAAAACTACACAAACACAACCTTGAGGTTTTTCTCACTTATTTTCATGAAAACCAAGCGAGACTGTCACTTTAAAAGACTGATAGAATTGGTTGTCAGTGATTCAAAACAAAACAAAACAGCCTTCGAGTGAAAATTGAAATTTTGGGCAACTAATATCTACTTGCAATGAACATGATAATTACCCAGTACAGACTTTCCTGAGGAGACGTGGGAGGGAATACTAACAAATGTTATGTTTGACACAGAATGAAGGTAAGATGATTTCATGTGGGGGCTGTTCTTCAGTGTTGGTTTCTATAATTCTAAAGAAGGGAGAGAGAATGTGGTGGAGAGAGAATTGTTTATTTATTTTATTTGAAACATGTCTTAAGTGAGATTTCAACAATATTGATAGAAACATGACATTGATGACTCACCAGTCTAATCAAGGTACTCAGTGAACTGAGGCAAGAGGATCACAATATCAAGACCAACTGAGGTTACAACTCAAGACCCTGTCTCTAAAGACAAGTATCAAAATGAAATATTGATTATTTGAAAATGAGAGTAACCTAAGTAACAGTTATAGGTATGAATGAGGAAAAGAAGGTTTTTAGTTTTTTTATTTGGGAAACAGAAATATAAATTATGGAATAAGAAAAATGTGTATATGTATTAAAACAAGAAAATAATTATTGTTTTGATAAACAGCTAGAACTTATTAATGCGTTTAAAAAAGTTTATTGAGCATACAAGAATGAGTCTAACGGATGCAAACCATGTTCATAATTTTAGTAGGAGATGAAAATTAAAATGCTGCAGTAGAACATAAAACATTCAAGGAAGCTTTTATTTCCTTTCATAAGAGCCCGGTGAGATGAAATTTACCTCTGGGCCCCTGACTTCTCCATGTGAAATGTGATATAAGCGTGCAATATTTATGGAGTGTATTAAATGGGCTATATTCATAACAAGAAGAGTTCAGTTCTACAGTTGGCATGTCTAGAAGCAATCGTGTGTGTGTGTGTGTGTGTGTGTGTGTGTGTGTGTGTGTGTGTGTGTGTATTTCCCCCTTTCTTTTTACCCCAGTGTTTAATCTTGTTGTTCAGGAGTTGGATAATTTTTGACAAGGACTCAGATTGGGGGCCCAGTGTGGAACTAACAATGGTGAGTCCATGGAAGCAAACAGTGAGCCAGCCTGTGCATATCTGTAGAAAGGGCCTCGTGAGTCAGCGTTTCCTTAGCCGGAGCAGCTCCAAAGAGGCAAAGTTTTATCTTTCAAGCTGCAGTCAATCAGAATCTAAGTAGTTCACACACCATTAATAAGAAGACACATTGGCCCTTCAGTCTGCTGGCCTGAGAGATCGCAGGTGACTCAGATGAGCATCCCTCAGGATCAGAGTTAATCACAGCTGTGGCTCACTTCCTGTTCTCCTGGGTGCGGCTCCAGTCTTCAGTCAGCCTGGAAGTGATAGAGCAGAAACAATGGCCATCTTACAGATGCTCTGTTGCACAGTACCAGAGACTGGGTTAAATGTTGAAGAAGAGAGGACTATTTTGTCTTGTCATTCTGTTCCTGGGTGGAAGGGCAGTATCTGGTGATGGTTTCTCACTGTTAGAGTCCCAGGATTCTGCAGGGCACTACCTGTAAGAGACAGGGAAAGTATATATATATATATATATATATATATATATATTCTTTGGTCTTTCCCCTTATGGTTTCTACCCAATTTGGGAAATAACTCCAGAGCTTTACATTTGCTGGGCAAATGCTCTAACACTGAGATACATCCC